AACCGGAAATTATAAATTTCTTTTGTAAGCTCAAAACATCTAATGCGAGACTTCTTTTTTTGACACCACTCGTGCGTGCACTTAACATTCACTCCCATACATATAGGTCTGCCGCACTGGGTCAACTCCCCCTTAATCCAAGTTCAATGTTCTTTTGCATCAACAAATCTCAACCAAATTTCTGATCATCACCAACAGATGCAAACGCGCCTTTCTCCAATGGTCTCCTTCTGGACCAAACCGTGATAGCAAATAGCACTCGGCAATCCTGAAGATGCATAAGATTCCATGTTGAATCCAGGATACTACACATTGGGGGTTCACCAATCAATTATGCTATGATCCTATTGTTGGAAGGAAGCACTGCAGAAGTGCAATACCTTCATAATGGTGAGATCTAAGGCAGAGCTCATAACTTGAATCCATTGGCAATCTAGTTACTTTTACTAAAAGCACTTGAACAATTGAGTTATGGGCTGACTAGGTATTATCAACTGTTTCTTTTAGCTCTAGGCATCTAGTTGGACCCATCTGATGTGATTTTGCAAGAGCTTCCTCTGTTCCATTTTCTCCCACTATGAGCCAAAATCGCCTCAATGCTAGCTTAACTTGCATAAGATAAGCATCAATTAGAACATATCTTTCAGGCTCCAAATAATTGCACTTATTTATTTAGCACCACATGATGAAGAACAGAGCAAAAGTCAGATATCAGATTTTCACTCGACAACGAAGCTAGATATATTGTATAATATCTCATCCTTCACATGCAATTCACCAACCGCCACTAAATGTATTCAACTTCAGGTCCTAATCCTAAAGCTTGTACTCATGCAAAAGCTTCGTACTACCATAATACGGACGGACTATTTAGCTAAATCATGTTCCTATATCAAAGAGCAGAACGTTGCTGCATTGAGAGCCGCAATATCCGTCATTAAGCAAGAAGAAAATTCAATTTCGAGACGATTCAGTGAAAAAAAGAAGAAATACATAGCTCGCTGACAAACGATTCAAATGCGATGAGAGAGAGAGAGAGAGAGAGAGAGAGAGAGAGAGAGAGAGAGAGAGAGAGAGAGAGAGAGAGAGAGAGAGAGAGGATAATTAGGGTGGGCTGGACAAAATGCAAAGATTAGGGGCAAGTCATTTGTCTACTTCTAAATTGCATCAGTGTTGCGCTTTCCACATAACGTCTTTCATTGCGGTTCCGGATTGATCGCAGCTCCAGAGTTACGGAAGCAGCTTCCTAAAATCGCGATTGACAAAGGGTAGGCATATCCACACTTTGTTGTAGTCTAACATAGACAAGCAATAGCAAGGTAATCATGAAAGTCATGGACAAACAAATGGAAGGTTGAATCACGTACGAGGAAGTCAAAAGTTGAGTAATAGTCGTTTCATTTAGAAATTAAATTGTTAAGAGTAAAATATATTCTATGTTTTATAACTTCATACTCCCTTTCATAAGGAGGTTGATATAATGAGGAAAGCCTAAAGCATGCGAACCTAATATTTGCGGCTTGTGACGAAGGATCATTGAAATTCCAGAAATATTAAAAAAAATACGTGAAAGGAGAATATGAAGAATCGAACTTAAGACATGGGACTCTGAGATATGTTTGTGTTTTGGGCAAAGCCTCGATACCATGACGAATGCTAAAAAGTTGGGTGTTTTAATACGCATCACGGTATTGAATTCGAAAGGTATTTACATTACAAGAGATGATTATGAAACATGCCTCATTTGATCTATAATCTTTCTCTATTACTCTAGTGTTGAGTCAATCCTTTGAAGAATTCTTTGTTCTTTGTTGTTCATGGTGTATGTTAGCCCAGTCCCTCACCATGGAATCAATTGATTGGAAAGGACATCAAAATTCTACTTAGTGTACTAATCTAATGTACATATGACTAGTAGATTATATTCAACGTAAAATATACCAATTATACGAACTAATCTTAATTCCCTTGAATGTTATTTTGTCTTTAATTTCTTTCTTCTCCATTGCGAAAATCATGTCGACTGGGAAGAAAGAGTCCGCATTTTTCCTGATTTAAAAACTTGTCAACATTAAATTTTTCTCCCTCTGAAAGCGACCACCACGTGGCACCAACCCAGTAACCGGTCGAGGATCAACGTCTTAAATCCTGTTTATGTCCAGCTGATGGCGATACCCACGTGGACGTCTTCCATCTCTTTTGAAATATAAGGATTCGAAAACGAAATCGAAATCGAATCCATGGAAAAAATCGAACCATTGTCGTGCAACTTCTCGTATGGCCAAAATTTTCGTCCTCAATCGCCGACAATTAATAATTATTAACGCTTATTACATCCAATGGGCATCGAGTTTGCTGCTTTTTTAGGCAAAATTTGGGACAAACTCGAGTAAAGACAAAGCGAGCGTAGATGCTCAGGATCTGAACTTTTGCCATCAACGTGTTTAACGATGCCCGCAAATTCAGCCTGTGAAGAAACCCTAATTCTCGCCATTCATTACGTGGGAGCTGTTCTTTTCCTTCAAAAAACTCGACCCATAATTGATAAATTAATTCTGAGGTGACGGTGGAAGGAAGATCTTCAACGGTCCATAACCTCCATTAACGGCTGCATCAACGAACGTGTCTCGCTTTCGTGACGTGGGTCTTTCTCTGTTTGTCTCTACTGGATGCTGCAGCGAGTCCGTAAAACCAGGTGACTCCGTAGAAACCCTAGACCGAATCATTCGCGACAGGATCGCATGATTTCATGGGGAGTACGTGCGGCCGCATCGATAACTTACTTCTCTTTCTCACTATTTTCTAATTCGGATACAATCGTACAATCAGGTGATATGATGAGTTAATTCTCGCAATACACCACATCAACATATTATTGATGCGATGACCGGACATTTCAGCTCTGGAGATTATCGAATTTACTGCGACCCTCGCTTGTAGTAACTTGATCAATTAATAAATTCGAGCGCCACTCTCTTTTTCCCCCTAAGATACGCGGGCCTATTTCTCCTAATTAATCAATTGGAGGAACGTGCTGGCCGAAAGAAATTATTGGTAAATGTCAGCTTTGATCGTCTGCGTGAGGACGTTGGGCAACATTATAAACGAAGCAGTCTCTATCGAGCGGGGCAAAATTTATTCAAGTGGATAACTGCTTTTTAGACTTAGTCGCTTGGACGGACCCCGAAATTTGTATGCCCGGACAAATTTGAGGACGTTGGATGTCCAATCAGAGAGATTTCCGCTCCATCACCTCCAAAAATTTGACAATAAACAATTTGGGTCATGGTCTTGTCAATTTGCATGTGCACAAGTTTCAATTGCATTAAGAAAAATTCCAAAAACATACATAACTCGGCTCATGACCACCACATTCTCATATATTAGATTGGTTTTTCACCTATATATGTATAGACTCTTATTTTCTGTAGTTTCTGACAAGTACATCCTAATTATTAACCGTCCGGTTCCCCAACATTACATGGACTACAAAAAAAGACCAACTATGCCTAACTTCTTGATTTGCAGTTGTGACTCTGCTTCTCAATAATAAAGTTGGAAAGTGGACCTAGATCTTCCAAACATAAAATTCTAATGGCAACAGTATCTTGTGTCAAAGAGTTGGACAACTTTAGTTATGCGATCCTAGAATTATAGTTATATATCCGTCTATAGATTAGTTTTGAATGATAATATTGATGATCTCCTTATATATTTTGAGAGTCTAGGACAGGTAATGATCCTAAAATGAAAACACCCAATTTAGTTTCTTGCGAGGCCTTGAAGAACTCGTGCGTTCTCTCCTCTTGTCTAATTGCTTATCTATTTTCCAAATCTCTTCTTTTAATCTATCCATCCTAGCCTTTTTTAGAGAGAGAGAGAGAGGTGCGTAGAAGCCTCGCCACCTGGAGGCCAATCGAACACTTTGCATGCCCCGTGAACAAGTCATGTCCAAAAATTTGGCTTGTGCATCTAGCCCTACCCTAGAGTAGTTTACACACATTTTGTGGGATTTAAAAAATTACTTCTAACTTTTGAGCTGAAAATCCCCTAACGCCTCAACTAACTATACAGATCGCAGGAGTTCTCTCTAATGACGTTATGCAAATAGTATAAAAGATAGATGAATTTTTTTTATCTTACTTTCCATACCCATATATGATTTTATCTGCATGGAAAATGAGAAAAAGAAACAATAATTCTAATGTTTCAAATTATACTTTCCATATTCATGGAATTATGTTAATGAATTAGAAGTGTCTCATGCCATATTTTGATAAACCTTCTCCCAGCAAAAGAACCATGCTTGAAACCCTAATCTTAAAAAAAAAAAAAAACCAGATGAACTAGATTTTGCTTTTAGCCACATAATGTGGTCAGAATGATTTGAAGGAAAAACAGTTAGCTTAAAGAACCTCGTCAATGAACAAGATCCCGATCGATCAATTCCTTCATTTATCGGATTCAAACTGAAAGGAAACATAATGGGATCTCTCTTTTTTCTAATCGAAAAATATAATCTCGATAAGTATAAGGGTCCCCAAAAAATCAATTGAATTAGCAAAATAATATATCAGCTTGATCGCAAAAGACTTAAATTCCCTTCTTTTTATTTTTTATTGAAGTCTAAGAGGTATTTCTGGAAGTACAAAGAATAGACACACATACGTGTGATATCCAAATTATATTGGTTGACCCTCAAGAAATCTGCGAACAATCCCCTCTTGCTAATTTCTTAATCTGCCGTAAAATCCGCATGAATACATACTTCAACGATCCAAACGTCCACGGTCCGTATCGGATATAGTTACGGAGATCATTGCGCCTGAGTATTCAGCTTGCAAGAAAGATAGAGTACAAGCAAACCACACTAAATTAACATTTAAATAATACCAAAATTATCACCGAAAATTCTCTAATGACGACAAGGGCTCCGATTTAGTGGAATTTTGTGCTCTCGATTTGACTATAAATACCCGCCCGTCAAGCTCCCAAATTGTGCGCAAGAAAAATCAAACTCCTGACTGAAGCGTTCGAGAATCCCATGGCGCTTCTTCAATCTCCATCGTTTTGCTTCCCTCTCGCCCTTCTCCTTTCTCTCCTTGTAACCTTGTCGCACTGCTTCAACCCCAAGTCGCTTAACTTCTCGAAGGTTCAGTCCGACGGCGATTGGTCGCCGGCGGGCGCGACGTGGTACGGGAGTGCCAATGGCGCCGGAAGCGATGGTAATGAAATGACATTGTATTTCTATTTGGCCAATTCACCCGGAGTAATGGTTCTTTATACGCAAGCGCCGTTGATCTCATCACAAGTCTTTTAGTAATTTGACTTAATCGAGTCTTTCGAGTATAGTTCGATTCCCACAAACGAGTAGCTTGGGTCAATCACCTAATAGTGATTGATTTTGGCTTTGTACCAAACATTTATAGACTTAGAGGTTAAAATGGAAGTAAGTGCAACGATAAACAATGCTACTCTAGTAATTGCACATGTCAGCTGATTTGCAACTCTATATATGTTTGTGTATATATAATATGCTTTGTATGATATTTTGTACGTAGGTGGTGCATGTGGGTTTGGGAATGGTGTCGACCAAGCTCCTTTCTCTTCAATGGTGTCTGCAGGAGGGCCTTCTCTTTTCAAATCAGGCAAAGGATGTGGAGCTTGTTACCAGGTTTTTCTCTTGCTAGAAAAGTGTCTCTCTAATTATTATATTCGCCGTTGTAGGAGAAAATTGTCACGGACAAAGCTAATACATATTCACGTGATATATTTGTGCTAATCGCGGAATAAAAGTCATGAAAACAACTACTACGGCAAGCTTTCCAGACTCCTAGTAAAAGTAGCTTTAAAAAATCTTCGTATTTAAACAGATTACTTGACTCTACACATATTGTCATATCCATGTAAGTGGCTTACAACATATTAGATGCCACAAGCACCATAATTAAGTAGTAGTAGTAATATGAGAAGTGTAGAGTTTTGAGCTCGTGTTGATTGAATTTCAGGTGAAATGCACCGAAAACGCCGCTTGTTCCGGAGACCCGGTGACGGTCGTTATAACTGATGAGTGCCCAGGCGGCCCTTGCGTCGCAGAATCTGCTCATTTCGATTTGAGTGGCACGGCTTTCGGAGCCATGGCGAGCTCCGGCAAGGCCGATGAACTTCGCAACGCCGGGGTGCTGCAGATTCAATACCAAAGGTCCGCACAATCGATTCTCTCTATGGAGCCAACCGACGTTTTCGAGTGAATTCTAATTTTAAAAGAGGCACAGAGGGAAAAAGCCAAGAAAAAACGCATTGAAAAATGCTTTCAACTAACAAGAAACTTTGCTTTCACCAGACTTATACTAATTAGCAAATAGTGTTACTTGCTTATTAAAAGTCTATCTGTGTGCACATATTTTCAATGCCAAGCAGAGTAGAGTGCAATTACCCCGGCATGAAGGTGACGTTCCACATCGACTCCGGCTCGAACCCCAACTATTTCGCCACGCTAATTGAGTATGAGGACGGGGACGGCGAGCTCGGCGCTGTCAACCTGAAGCAGGCTCTAGACTCTGACTCTTGGCTTCCAATGCAACAGTCGTGGGGTGCGGTTTGGAAGCTGGATGGTGCGGGCCAGCTGCGCGCCCCGTTCTCGATCAAGCTCACCTCCCTCGACTCCGGCAAGACCCTAGTTGCCAACAACGTGATTCCAGCCGGGTGGCAGCCCGGACAGACGTACCGGTCCGTCGTCAACTATGCTGTCTGAGGGTTGTGTGCGGTTTGCCTGGGAGACGAAGAGATGGAAATGATCGTTCATGGATTAGGCTGTGTGCGCTTTATATGATTGGCAAAAATAAAATATAGGATGGTGTGGAAAAAGAAGGTAGTTTGCCTTTTCCCCTCTCTGTGTAGTCTAGCAGCTATGAGCTACCTCTTGGAAAAGAGAGTAGTAGTGAGAAATGAATGATATTGTCCTTTCCAAATCAAGAATGATTCGAGTATTTTTGTTCTTTCTTTTTGTGCTGTTCTATTGTATTTGAAGCTTGAAAGCTTTTTTGTTTTGCACCAATCTAATGTACCACATACAAAGTGGATGGTTATAAATTGTGTCAATCTATGTGCAAGTGGGTATATTCTTCATTATGAAAAAAATGGAAATTCTTAATGAGAATTATAATTCCTTAGAAACCATTTTTGATACATATTCATAGATAAAACTAAACGAACCCAATTTTTCAACAAGTTCCTATCACTTCCATCTATTATACTTTGATTCATTTCTAGGAAATCAGCCCATCGCGCGTTGAGTTCATAGTTAATACTAGCTCCGAAATACGTGGAAAGAAACATTATCATTGAATTTTCAGTTCAATCCCAATCAAGCTACCGATTATTTTTAAGTTCAATCTCAATCAAGCTACTGCCGGGCCACATAGGGCGACTGGCGTCCACGTCAACAAATTTATGTCAAAATTGGCCGGAAAAATTACATTTGTAAATCGTCAAAATGTTTAAAATCCGATTAACAAAATTGTAAGGTTTATGACTGAATTGAGATATGTATGATAGGTTTAGGACAACTTTTATTTTTTATTTTTTATAATTATCCCGAGATAGAACTTCTTTGACATGGACAAGGAAGAGTTGGACATTGATGCAAATCAGTTTTCTGTCATAATGAGTATGGTTAGTGACTTAGGCTGCGCATGACAAGTTGCCAAATAGTGTTTGATTCTGTTCTTTTGTTCTCGAAATAGTTTGGGAAAAATGCGTTTGTTAAATTTTTTGTTCCTTGGCACAATTTTGCAAAAATTTGTGCGAGAATCGATTTGGAAGAGAATCAAGAATAAAAAAAGTAGCTTCTTGTTCGGAACAATTTTGAGAATCAATTTTTTTTCTTCCTTTTTTGATTTTTAATTTCTTCTAATGTGGCCCAGGCCTCGCCGGATCGACGGAATAAAATATTTTAATAAAAATATTTTCCGCATGGCCACGACCAGGCCATGGCCATAAAAAGAAATATATATTTTTAATAAAATATTTTAATAAAGGCTCGCCATGGCCGTGACCGGCCATGGCAAAAGAAAAATATATTTTTAATAAAAATATTATTAAAAAAAAATATTTTACTCATGGCCATGGCGACTGACGGCCATAGCTAAAAAAATAAAAATGTATATTTTTAATAAAAATATTATTAATAAAAAAATATTTTACCGCCATGGCTATGACCAAGCCATGGCAAAAAAGAAAAATATATATTTTTAATAAAAAATATTATTAATAAAAAAATATTTTACGCCATGGCCAGACTGACGCCATAGCTAAAAAAATAAAAATGTATATTTTTAATAAAAATTTTAATAAAAAATTATTAATAAAAAAATATTTTACTGTGCCATGGCCGGCGATCGTGCCATGGCCAAAAAAGAAAAATATATTTTTAATAAAAATATTTTAATAAAAAATATTTTACCAGCCATGTCCGTGACGAGGCCATGGCCAAAAAAATAAAAACATATTTTTTAATAAAAAAATTTTAATAAAAATATTTTACCACCATGGCCGGCGACTGGCCATGGCCCAAAAAAATAAAAATGTATATTTTTAATAAAAATATTTTAATAAAAAAATTTTTAATAAAAAAAATATTTTACCCCATGGCGGCAACCAAGCCATGGCCAAAAAAATAAAAATATATATTTTTAATAAAAATATTATTAATAAAAATATTTTACCGGTCATTGCTGGCGACTGTGCCATGGCCAAAAAAAAGAAAAATACTTTTAATAAAAATATTATTAATAAAAAATATTTTTCCGGTCATGGCGCAGAGCATGCTATGGCCAAGAAGGAGGAAAAGAAAAAAGAAAAGAAAAAAAAGAAAGAAATATTAAAATATTTAAAAATATTATTAATAAAAAGAAATTTTGTGGCGTTACCAAACGCATTTATGTTCTTTTCTATTCCAGGGATGAAATTTTGGGCCGTTTATCAAACGCCTTAAAATACTCGAAATTATTTCCAGGCACGTAATCAAAAAAAATCATTTCGTTCGTAATGCCCAGGCATGAGAATGGTTGTCATGCGTAGCCTTAGTGTCCATCAATAGCGAATTTTGTTCTCGACAGTTGACCTCGGTGTAGACGTGAAGTGAATCATCAGTGTCCTCAGAAGACTTTTAAGAATTTTGGGGCCAAAGATGAAGCAAGTCAGCGAGTTCATAAAAGAAGTTATGCCGCATTTGGGGTTCTTCATCCAAAGTCAACGAGAGGGGCATTCGTCGGCACCGTCAAATCTCGAGTCTGGAATTTTCCAACTCGCAAAGCATTAAGTTCGTTTTCTCGCTGATTGAGACACTTACTTCGCTGATTACATTATTTTTCGCAAAAAAAGTGTTTAACATTGTTGGAATTAAGCATTAGGTAGAAATTAAAAAAAGTGTTTAACATTATCTAGTCCCTAGAATGTATAAAAATGGTCAATGTTGTCCCTGAACTTGAATTAATGAAAAGATAACATCGAACATCTTCTTATAGTCTAATGACTAAATTAAACACGTATAAAAAGTTTTAGAGACAACATTGAACATATTAAAAGTATAGGGATGATTGTGCATATTGGATTGAAGTTCATCGATCACATTGAATAAATTTAAAGTTCGGAGATTACATTTCACATTGGGCAAAAGTTTAAAGACAGTTTGTGTCGTTTATCCTATGAAATACCATGCGGACTTTAGTTGCGAAGCACTTTTAGTACTTTGGGCCCATGGGTTTTAACGGCTCAGGCTATATTTGATTACTTCTTCTTCCCCTTAAGATGGATTAATGGGTTTGATGTGAGACCGCGTATTTGGGCTCATTTGGACCCAAATGGGGCTCGTAGCATTCTTTCCCTGGTTTAATTAGACCCGCAGTAGGTCCGGCTGAACAATTGCTCCCAGAGTCGGCAAAAAACAGGCCCGATCCGGGAAACTCTCCAAAGATCGGCCCTTCCTGACTCAACTTAGAAAGGTCAATAATTTGGAGCCGACTTCGCTCATATTCAAACCGCCTCCTGGGCACACTTCCAAAGGTGACCTTTCTAGGTGCCTTTCGGGGGAATTGTTTTGTGCGTAGGGAGCGTTTGAGCGCACTCTTTCTTGGCCATTGAGTATTGTGAGACCCGTATAAGATATGACGATTGAGATATCGAGAGCTCATACGGATCGGGTGTGTGCAATATTTACTCCGTCTTTTGATACGCATTCTTTTGAGTGGGACCACACTACGTCCTTTGCGGTACATACCGGCTGAAATTACTTTATATAATATTACGGGTGTGTTTGTTTTTATGAAAAATGAATGATGTAAAAAATATTTTCCTAAAAATGATTACTTATATTGCTTATAAAAATAAATAAACGAAAAATATTTTTATCTTTCATGAATATATTTAGATATAAATGTTGTCAATAATGAAAATATTTTTCGTCGACTAATTATTTGAAACGACACAAGTTCTCCAAAGTTACATGATCTCTGCGCCACGCGTCTACTGCTCACATGGACAGGACTCGAGCTTCTTCTTCTTTCTTTTTTTTTTTTTCGGCCCCCGGGTAGTTTGTGCATTAATTACACGAATGATTCGATATCATCGGCTAACCACAGTTATCTCCGCGCCACGTAAGCTATCCCGCGATACACGGCTCTTCGGCCTTTGCAATGGATTGCCTTATGGTCTTCGGATACCGTGAACGCGGCATCCGTAAGGCTGCGTTTGGAAAATATTCTGGTCCGTGGGATCCACGACAGAGTGGCAAATGGAAAGCATGCTCGTGGAATGAACTTATCATGTCGAATTTTCAATAGAGCTCCTGCGTTCTGCTTTCATCGGGCTTCGAGGAATGAGAGCTTTGTGTTTGAACTTCAAAAACTCTTCTAGGTGCCTTTTCGGGGGAATTGTTTTGTGCGTAGGGAGCGTTTGAGCCCGCTCTTTCTTGGCCATTGAGTATTGTGAGACCCATATAAGATATGACGATTGAGATGTTGAGAGCCCATATGGATCGGGTGTGTGCAATATTTACTCCGTCTTTTGAGACAAAGACGCATTCTTTTGAGTGGGACCACACTACGTCCTTTGCGGTACATACCGGCTGAAATTACTTTATATAATATTACGGGTGTGTTTGTTTTTACGAAAAATGAATGATGTAGAAAATATTTTTCTAGAAATGATTACTTATATCGCTTATAAAAATAAATAAACGAAAAATATTTTTATCTTTCATGAATATATTTAGACATAAATGTTGTCGATAATGAAAATATTTTTCATCGACTAATTATTTGAAACGACACAAGTGATTATTTTTATAATTTATTTTTCAGATCCTGTATTTTTCGCGAAACAAATGAAGCCTATAAATCACTTTCCGAAGTTTGCCACCCATAAATCACTAAAACCAGGAAGATTGGGTGAACTTGCTTGACCCCCAATTTGTTACGAAACCCAGAAAGTCTGATAAGAAGAAAAGAAACCTCGTCGAAATTGATTGGGAATATGGGGCGTGGGCCAAAATCGTGATGCTTTTACCTACAACTTGTCGAAATGATTTCGAAAAATGAAATATTTGAAAGAATTAATGAAACAAATGGAAAGCTAGATAGCACATATTTGTTCAAGATTACACAGATTTGGAGAGAGACTTGGAGGGTCAAAAACAGCCCTTACCACTATCCATTATTTAAGTCATGAATTCTATTTTCCATATAGTTGCCCAATATGATTATTATAACCTAATTTTGTTAATATCAAAGTATAGTTGTAAGATACTTCCGTGAACTCATTATTTTGACGACACAGGTTTAAAGGCTTGGCTTGATACCAAATGCGATATGCGCTCTTTTTCTATTCTTTAAAAAAAACACAATATGTATACACAGGTGATGCATGTATACTTTGGAATTTAGACGGGGTCATCTATTTCCAATTCCGATTACCACTGCAACGAGAGTACAATGTGGGA